GCTTGCTGTGAAATCCTTGGCTTCTCGTTTCTTTCCTTGAATATCTTAAATATGTTATTCCCATTTTCTTCCGTCATAAAGCATTGCTGTCAATATCTGATCATAATTTTATTTTCCTTATATGTCAGATGCTCTTTCTTTTGCATAGGTGTCCAAAGGATTTTTTTTTCTTTTAAATCTATTAGTTTTATTAGAATGTGTCTTGTTTTTGGTCATTCTGGGTTAATATCCTAAGATACTTATTGTGCATTTTCAATATATACTGAAAAAAATTTTTTTTTAATTTTTTAATTTCAAGAAAATTTTCTTTTTTTTAATTTATTTTTTACTTTTCACTGGGGTAACATTGATTTATAACATTATATAAATTTTAGGTGTACATCATTACATTTCTACTTCTGTATAGACTACATCGTGTTCACCACCAAAAGTCTAGTTTCCATCCATCACTGTTTTGTGCCCCTTTACCCCTTTCACCCTCCTCCCACTCCCTTCCCCTCATGGTAACCACCAATCTGTTCTCTGTATCCATGTGTTTGTTTGTTTATCTTCCACATATGAGTGAAATCATACAGTATTTATCTTTCTCTGTCTGACTTATTTTGCTGAGCGTAATACCCTCAGGGTCCATCCACGTTGTCAAAAATGGCAAGATTTCATCTTTCTTATGGCTGAGTAGCATTCCATTGTGTGTATATACCACATCTTCTTTATCCATTCATCCATTGATGGGCTCTTAGGTTGTTTCCAAGTTTTGGCTATTGTGAATAATGCTGCAGTGAACATAGGGGTGCATATATCTTTTTGAATTTGTGTTTTGGTGTTCTTTGGATAAATAACCAGAAGTGGAATTGCTAGATCATATGGTAGTTCTATTTTTAATTTTTTTGTGTGTGTGTGTGAGGAAGAATAGCCCTGAGCTAACATCTGTTGCCAATCCTCCTCTTTTTGCTGAGGAAGATTGGCCCTGGGCTAACATCTGTGCCCGTCTTCCTCTACTTTGTATGGGATGCCACCATAGCACGGCTTGATAAGTGGTGCATTGATCCATGCTTGGGATCTGAACCCGCGAACCCTGGGACGACAAAGTGGAGCACATGAACTTAACTGCTACACCACCAGGCTGGCCCTTAGTTTTAATTTTTTGAGGGATCTCCATACTGTTTTCCATAGTGGCTGCACCAATTTACGTTCCCACCAGCAGTGTTACAAGGGTTCCCTTTTCTCCACATCTTCGCCAACACTTGTTATTTCTTGTCTTTTTAATAATAGCCATTCTGATGGGAGTGAGATGATGTCTCATTTTAGTTTTGATTTGCATTTCCCTAACAATTAGTGATGTTGAACATCTTTCAAGAAAATTTTCTTGAATATAATTTTTCCTTTTGCTTTTGTTTTCTTTTTTTTCCCCAAGACTCTTATATATCTCTATGTTGATTCTTCTTTGCCTATCTTCAATATTTGTCACCTTCTCTCAAATCCTTTATATCTTCTTCATTTCTTTTTGACTTTTAAACTTAACCTCCTTTTCAATTTCTATTTCTCTTAAGGCATTATTCATCATGTTTAGTTACCCTCTGTTTCTTATTGCTTAGCTTTCATTTCTAAAATGACTTTTTATTTCTAATTCTTTGTATATTGTTCTTTCGTGTCTTATCATTTTCTTGATATCTTTCAGTTCTTTTTGAAATAGTTTGTTGTAGATTTGGTTCTTTTTAAAAAAATTTGACAGTGTCTTTCTGATGTGAGTTGTTTGTAGAGATCTTTTCCTTATTCTCTTTATCTTATGGTAAATTTGTATGGATCTGACCTCTGTACTTTTTCTGTTGCTCATTTTGATTTGCAGTTAGTTTTGCTGAACTTTTGGAAGGAAACTTGGTTCAGATAGCTTTAACTTTACAGAGCTTCCTCTTCTGTTTTTTTTTTTTTAATGTGGTATTAAAAAAATATGGCGGCTTGTTTTCAGAGATTTCCTGGCTTCTTTCCCCTTCCCCACTTCTTTTTTTCCCCCTATTTTTTTGTGAGGAGATCAGCCCTGTGCTAACATCTGCCAATCCTCCTCTATTTTTGCTGAGGAAGACTGGCCCTGGGCTAACATCTGTGCCCATCTTCCTCCACTTTATATGGGACGCTGCCACAGCATGGCTTGCCAAGCAGTGTGTTGGCACGCCCAGGATCCGAACTGGTGAACCCTGGGCTGCCGCAGCAGCGGAGCACACACACTTAACTGCTTGCGCCACCAGGCTGGCCCCTCCCCTTCCCCACTTTTTTTTTTTTTAAATAATTTTATTTATTTATTTACTTTTTCCGCCAAAGCCCCAGTAGATAGTTGTATGTCATAGCTGCACATCTTTCCAGTTGCTGTATGGGGGACGCAGCCTCAGCGTGGCCGGAGAAGCGGTGCGTCGGTGCACGCCCGGGATCTGAACCCAGGCCGCCAGCAGTGGAGCGCACGCATTTAACCGCAAAGCCATGGCGCCGGCCCTCCCCTTCCCCACTTTTATCTGGACTTTTTCTTTTCCTCATCTGTTATCCTTATCCCACTTAATTTTGATTCCACTCCCAGTAGTTTCTCCTCGTGTGGGGCCCTGTCCTGGAAGGCAACCCCAGGAGGTTAGAATGGTGAATTCACCAGGGCTGGGGTTGTATCATCTGCTATTGGAGCAGACAAGATCTTTCCTGGTGTTGGCCTCTGTTAAAATTTGAGAATTCTATGAGCACCCGTTGGCTATTTTGAGATTCTCCTATTCTCGGGTCCATCAGACACCCTGTTGCTCCAGACAGACGCTGATCGCATGCAGGCCTTATGGCTGGCGGTGATTTGCCCCCACTCGTGTCTATTTTGCGGCTCATGGTAATGTTATGTTCCTCAGTTCTGTTATAAATGTCATCCATGAGGTTTCAGTTTTGCTGTTTCTCTGCTCTGTCAGTTTTTTGGTCTATTTCTTCTCTTTGGTTCCCTCTTTTGTTACCCAAGCCAGAAACTAGGAGGTCATTTTCAGCTCTCTCTTTCATTCACTTTTACATTTTGGTTCACTTTTTCATCCTTAACATTTCTCAAATCTGCCCACTTCTCCCCATCTTCATTGCCGTGATATTAGGCCAGACCAGATTCTCATAACTTCTTTCTTAGTGCTGTACAAAGTCTCAGAACCTGATTTTTCTGCTTCCAGTCTAACCATTTTCCACACTGGAGCTAGAATGATCTTTTTAAAATGCAAATCTGATCATGACCCTTCTTGCTTGAAACCTTTCAGTGATGTCCAGTAGCTGCAGGGTGAGCTGAGACCCCTTAGCATAAACCACAGGGCCTCTCAGGGGCTGGCTCTTCCTCCATCATCAGCCTCTTCTGTCTCCTCTTCCTTCTTGCAATTCTCCATCCTGTCTTGCAGGAACTACTTGCAGCGAGTTCCCCAAGGGTGCCATGGTTCCTTGTCGCCTCTAGAGCTTTGTCTGCAGTATTCTTCCTGCCTGGCCTCCTTGTTGGAAAGTGAAATTGGGGAACGCCTGAACCATTATTTTTTGAGAGAAAACACAATTTATATTTTTAAAAGGAATGTGTAATTCACCAGAGTTTATTACAAAATGTGCCATATTTCCTAATGCTCTTGAAACCTTTTTTATCACTTTTCACAGAGAAAAATTCTGGACCCCTATGCTTGGAGTATTCCATTTCTTTTTTGTTAAATAATGAACTTGAACTTATTAAATATAAATATATAACTATAAATGTGAATAAACATTTAAATAAAATGAGATTATTTTTAAGTTCCTTTGAAATAAAACAAAATCTATTTGGTTTTATATTAGAATGATTTCCCTGTACAATTTAAAGCTCTATCAAAATCCAAATAGCTGCCTTTATAACAATAAGGCATCTAATAAAAACCAAGATACCTTCAGTGATTCACATCACGTCAGCCTGCCAAGGAAGCATGACAAGTTCATTACCTGAACACATCTGGGGTGGAATTACAAATGAGAACTTTGCAAGGAAGCCAGTTGGGAACACTGTGGTCTGAATAGAAGAATGAGTCTAGATGGTATTATTGGGACTTGTGGTTGTATGATGCGTGTCATGCTCTAAGAAGCAGACCTCCTCGAGTTTCTTGTTTCAGGTCTGTGCTGAGGAGGGAGGGACAAATGGGAAGAGGAAAGGTAAAAAGCTGCTCCCCGTCCACCAGCTTCACCATGTCCCTGCCACCAACATGTGCACACACACCAGTGCATGTAAAATTCACAGATCCTGACTGTATCCTCAAGAGTCAACCTGGAGGGACCTGGTTAAATCTTCCTATTGGGAAAGCGAGGACAGAGATTCCCAGTGTAAAATGGCAACCAAAATTAAAATGAGGAAGCTAGCAATTCACTTAAAAAGGAAAAGGAGGGGCTGGTCCGGTGGTGTAGTGGTTAAGTTCTCACGCTCCGCTTTGGCAGCCTGGGGTTTGCAGGTTCGGATCCCTGGCGCGGACCTACACACCACTCATAGAGCCATGCTGTGGCAATGTCCCACATACAAAAATAGAGGAAGATTGGCACAGACGTTAGCTCAGGGCCTATATTCCTCACCAAAAAAAAAAAAAAAAAGGAAACCTGACGTTAAATGGAGAAGGAAATAATTTGAGAAGAATAAGTTAAATATTAGCTTGAAGTTAAAAAGGCCTAAACCACTCAGGTGGATTAAAGAATAATGATCTTGAAGACAAGATGCTAAACAGGAAGAAAAATGCTTGGAAGTGTCAACATGAACAAATGAGACTTCAAGGCATCTGGGGGAATGTATGAGATTGTGGGCACATCCTTCTTGCCTGGAGCTCTGGTGTTAAACTGTGAGATTACAGGCGAAGCATCTCTGTGAAGGGTTTGTATACAGGGGAGAAATGTGGCCAGTACAAAATGTGCTTTTAGCTGTCACTCTGATTTCACGCACCAGACTCAGTTTTCCTGAATACCCTATCATGCAGCCTTCCTCATGCTGCTTTACTTGTCCCTTTACTTAGGAGTACGAGACCCAATCTAGTGCAGAAGCCAGATTTGTGAAGCAGCTGGACCAATGTGAGATGATTCTTCAGGCATCTGAATATGAAGACCTTGAGAACAAGCCTGGGAGACTGCAGGACTTCTATGATTCCACAGCAGGTACTCAATGCTACTTTCAACAAGCGGCCGTTTTAGTTGGACTTACTCCTAGTGTAGAAACAAACGTGTATTAGTGAAATCCACCGTTGTTACCCTCTTCTGACCCTTTCATATGGAGCATCTAAAAACAAAATGGTGGGATTTGTGGTGAGAGGCAGCCTGGTGCATGAGAGCATTGCCGTCCTGGAGTTGGAGCACCAGGTTGACATTCTGCCTCTGCCACCTGCTCGCAGTGTGCACCTGGGCAGTCAGTCTCCTGACCTCTCGGAATCTGTGTCCTCCCTGAAACATGGAAATCTTAATACTCATCCTACTTAAGTCATGGGTTGGTTTTAAGATTCGAGAGGGATGATGTATGTGAAAGTGCTTTGTAGTCTGTAAGTGCTTTATAGATGTAAGGTCATGTGAGATGGAGGTAGAAGTAGAGGTTTAAGAAAGGAAAACCCCAAACGGCCGAAGTCACCCTCATTACAGCACTTCATAGCACAGACCTGGAGTCACACTGCTTGGGTTTGGATCCTGGTTCCACCACATAACAATCTGTGTAACCCCCAGTAAATTACTCAACCTCTCTAGGCTTTAGTCTCCTTATCTTTAAAATGAGGATAATTACAGAATCTGCTTTATAGAGTTGTTTGAGGATGTAGTGGGCCAATTCATGTGAAGTGCTCAGAATAACACCTGGCAGTAAGCCTTACCCAGCTTCATTTTGATATAGTTTCTAGATTGAGGAGCTAAGTAGACTGTATCAGTGATGGCTGCTGTTCATGTTGCTCCTTGGAATAAAACTCCATCTCTCTTGGCTAGGGGCTCTTCAGGTTCAGCTCAGCCTCTGTCTCCCCTGAGAGAGCTGTTAGAGATAGCCTTTCCGGGGCCTCTCAGGACCCTCAAGCGGCCTTACCAAATGGAGGAAGGTCCCAGCTCACAGACAATGCTCCAAAATATGATTTGCACTATAATGAAGTTGATTCAATTTTCCTTCTCTCTTTTCCAGCGGCACTACCTCTGCTCTAGACAAGGCCTCCATTATTTCTGTGTCGGACTGCTGTTATAACCTCCTAACTTAACCTGCCAGGCTGGCTAGTTCATCTTGCACGTCTCATTTCTTTCTTTCTTTGTAGATATAGGTATCATCACATCTGTGTTTTAAAAACTTTTATGGCTTTCCTCTTTCTGAAAAATAAAATCCTGACACTTTGGAGTGGCCTGAAAAATCTCTGCAGTCTAAGGCCACTCATCTTTCTGGTCTGCTTTCCTAATCCTCTTTGTCCAAATTAAGTGTTCTTTGGTCTAGAGCTCACCATACTGCTGTTACTGTCTGACTTGCATTCTGCTTAGTGATGTTCCTCTCTAATGGGTCCTCTTCCCAAAACCCCATATGCTCACCCTACCCCATAGTAAGCCATTTGAGGGCCAAGACCAGCTTTGTCTCATCCATCTTTGATAGGTATAGGCAGTGCTCAAAAATGTTGGATGTTAGTTAATTAGAATAACATTATAAATCAGCAAACTATGGCCCATCAGCCAAGTTGGCCTGCTTTGTGTAAATAATGTTTTATTGGAACGGCCACGCCCATTCTTTGTGTATCGTCTATGCTGCTTCTACACTACGACAGCAGAGTTGAGTAGTTGCGACAGAGACCATATAACCCACAAAGCCTAAGATACTTACTACCTGGCTCTTTACAGAAAAGGTTTGCCAACCTGTATTATAAGCAATGATTGGGTTCTAGGATAGCACATTTCACTTAAAATACAAGTCATTTTTTTGTGGTTCTGTGTGTTTTACACACTATTATCTTCTATCTCATAACTTTCACAATGAAAAATAGAAAATGAAACATAAGAGTACTAGTAGGATAAAAAATGTGGGAGCTGGAAGGGTCATCTAGTTTAAACTCCACATTTTATTGAGGAAGAAACTTGAGCCTAGGAAAAATAAAAAACCTTGAGCCTTGAGTTGAAGTTAAAATTCACTGCATTTTCCACTCTGGTGCACTGCTTCTATAAAGAAATTAATGGGGGCTGGCCCGGTGGCCTAGGGGTTAAGTGCTCATGCTCTGCTTCGGCGGCCCGGGGTTTGCAGGTTCGGATCCCAGGCGCGCACTGGCGCACTGCTTGTCAAGCCGTGCTGTGGCAGCGTCCCATATAAAGTAGAGGAAGATGGTCATGGATGTTAGCCCAGGGCCAACCTTCCTTGGCAAAAAGAGGAGGATTGGCATCGGATGTTAGCTCAGGACTGATCTCCCTCACACACACACAAAAAAAGGAAATTAATAAATAAAAATAATATAACTGATATAGGAAGTAGTGTCTTACTTATTTCAATAACTAATGCCTGAAGGAAAAGAAAGAAACGAGTTTAATTAGAGATGATGATGTAGACTGCGACCACTAGGAGGATTTTGAAGAGGACTTAAGGACTTTAGTTTGATAACACTTATATTCTTATTTCTCTAATTCGGTCATAACTTAGTGCTCTTTTTCTCTCTTTTCTTTTTGAAGCCTTGTGTGTTGAGGGACAGCATGGAGGCCAGTGTGGCTAGTGGAGGTGGGTGAGAGGAGAGGGTGGGAGATGAGCCGAGAGAAGTGGGCTGAGGCCCGTAGGGCCTTGAGGCCAGCCTAGGACGTTGGCTTGTGCCTAGTGAGATGAGGAATCCTTGGAGCCTGTGGAGCACAGAACCGACATAACCTGGCTTGTGTTTTGAAAGGATCACTTGGCTTGGAAGCAGGGAGACCAGTTGGGGGCTATTGCAGCATCCTGGTGAGAAAGATGGTGGTTTGGACCAGGGTAGTAGTGGTAGAGGAAGTAAGAAGTGGTCAGATTCTGGATGTATTTTGAATGAGGAGTCCAAGAATTTTGGCCTGGGCAACTGGAAGAATGGAGTGGCCATTAGATGGGGAAGACGGGAAGAATCGATTTGGGGGAAGAGAATCAGATGTCCCAAAAGCCGAAGGAAGAAAGTGTTTCAAGAGTAGCTATCAGATTTAGCAGCGTGGGGCTAATTGAGTAGTTTTGGTCGAAAGATGGTAATAAAAGCCTGATTGGCGTGTGTTCAAGAGATGATGGGAGGAAAGGCTTGAGAGACAGTGAGTATAAACTATCTTTTTGAGAATTTGCTTAAAGGGGAGCAGACAAGTGGGGCTGTAGGCTAGGAAGAGAGGCCTGGTCAGGTGAGGGTTGGTTTGTTGTTAAGGTGGAATTTTAAAGAGCGTGTTTATATGCTGATAGAAATAATCAGGGAAAGAAGGAGGGGAATGAATTGCTGGGTCGGGATCTAACACACAAGTAGAGGTGGTTGGGGGCATTTCATCCTCAGTAACGGTCATTGGTAGTGATGAATTCCAGGTGTGCCTGTGGGCGGAGTGGCTGAGGTGGGCACACAGAGGATTTCTATAAGAGAGGAGGTGATAGAATGGAGAGGCTGGACTATTGGAAGGATCCTGTATATGAAAACTGACGTTGAAATCAAGAACTGACATTGGGTGGTGGTAAAGAGAGTGATGATGAACTTGAAACTACATTTTTTCCAGGCATGAAGACTTGCAGTTGTATAGATGATTGCAACCAGGAGGGGTAGTGAGTGGTTAAAGTGGTTCTGGTCGCCCAATTTCCAATGTGTGTGTGTGGGGGGGTTCCCCCACATTACCAAGCAGCTGGGTGTCCTACAATTCAACTCAATTCTGAATCTGCTGGGAGGTAGCATCAGATACCACAGATTCCACCCAGGCCCACAAGACTGCTCTCCACTTCAGATGCCAATTGCAAGCCCAGGTTGTTACCTGTGTATGTTGAAGGTCCAACGACCCCCTCCTTGGGTTACAGGTTAAGGGCTCAGTCTCACAAGACACCCCCCCAACAAACACACACACACACACACACACACACACACACACACTTCATATGCCAGTTGCAAGTCCAAGTTGTCACCTGTTCTGACCAAATGGCTATAAATCAGAGGTTCCCAAGACTGCTTCCTTGGGTTCCATTAATTTGCTAGAGCGGCTCACAGAATTCAGGGAAACATTTTTCTTAACTAGATTACCAGTTTGTTATAAACGGATGTAACTCAGGAACAGCCAGATGGAAGAGATACATAGGGCAAGGTATGGGGAAAGGTCCCTGCTCTCTCCAAGCGCCACTCTCCTCAGATTTCCGCATGTTCACCAACAGGAAGCTCTCCAAACCCAGTCCTTTTGGGTTTTTATGGAGGTTTCATTACAGGGAGAGACATTGATTAAAATCATTGGTCTTGGCAAGTTTCAACCTCCAGCTCCTCTCCTCTCCCTGGAGGTCAAGGGGTGGGATTGAAAGTTCCAACCCTCATCTCAGGGTTGGTTCCTCTGGCAACCACTCCCATCCATAGGTGACCTAGGGGCATTCCAAAAGTCACTTCATTAGCATAGCAAAAGACACCTCTATCCCTCTCACCACTTAGGAAATTCCAAGGGATTTAGAAACTCTGTGCTAAAAGGAAGACTGAATATATATTTCTTATTATGAATCACAGTGTCACAGTGGGATAGTCTGACAGCATGACTTTTACAGAGTGGGGCAGAGGACAGCCTGGAAGCAACGAGGAGCATGGAGGACAGGCCCAGGCCCAGTGGTAAAAGCCCTGTGAGGGAGAAAAAGGCCACTACATGAGAGGGCTGCAGGGAAACTGTATCCTCAGGAAAAGCCAGGTGTCAGGGCAAGAAAGTGAAGGGAACATTCAGAGAAGAAGTTGAGGATGCGGATTAAATGGAATAGAGTTTAATGTGGAATGAACAGTAAGCAACAAAAGACTGGCAAGAAAAGACAGTCAGGGAAGAGATGGTGGGTTTAATGTTCCCCATGCTGGCCACCGTCGACCTCAGATAGGGAAGAGCTTGGTTGGAAATCCAGGGAGGGCAGAGAAGACAGCACAGATCAGCCGGTTTCAGGATAAAGATGTTTGCATGAGACGTTTGCATTTCTGTTTGCCTCCTGGGAAAGCCGAGACCCGCTGGTCATCCTACTAATCTTTTTATATGTAGGTGCTTTGTTCCCCTTAATTAATTGCAGGTTTGAAATGGGCAGAAAGGTTGTCTGCTCTCTGGGTTCTGTCCTACCTGAGCTTCCCCATAATTCCTGGTAGAGGGATTCAGAGATTGCCTGGTGGAGTTTCCCCTAGCACTGCCTAATCAACAGTTCCTTATTCGGTGACTTCTGGAATGACAGAGAATAAGTTCCCAGTGGTCCCCTTTGGCCCCTCTCCAGGACCTGGAATCAAGTTCTTCTGCGATGGAGTGGAGTATGGGTCAGATCCCAGAACTGAGCCCCTGACAAGCCCTGGGATCAAACTGGAGAAATAGACATGTTCTCTTGTTGTTAATGGCACAAAATTGGGGTTCTCTTGCCTGATGCACATAAAAAACGCCAATTATTACGGCATCAGCTTTTGAGTTAGGAAATGTAGCTTTATTTTGCGAGATTGATCTGCAAGGAGATGGGGCATGTGCCCTCAGATCTGTCTCCCCAGTTCAGGGCGTGGGGCACAATTTATGGGATGAAGGGCAGGGCAGTCCCAAGTGTGGAGATAGATGATTGGAGGTTAGGAGAAGTGAGGTAATTGATGATCTGCGCAAGCCTAGTCGAGCTTCATGCCTCTTCATAGGCAGCATGTTCACAAAACGGCGACGTTAGCATGATCTGAGGGTGGAGTTTTCAGCTCCTTGATGTCAAAAAGGTCACTTAGCAGGCATTTGCGCAGGCCCAATTGATGGGTTGGTGGTCTCAACCAGCCTGAACTGGACAAGGATCTCAGTTCCTGAAAGACAACTCTTAATTACCCTGTTGATAAGATGGGGTCAGTTGAACTGGTCCTGGAGGTGCCTGCAGTTTACATTGTCAATATCTTTTTCCCTGTCTTTTGCTTTGCAGGAAAATTCAGTCACCCCGAGATAGTCCAGCTTGTTTCTGAACTTGAGGCAGAAAGAAATGCTAACATAGCTGCCGCTGCCAGTGAGCCCGGCTCCTGAGAGATTCTCTTAAGTTGCTGCACTCATGTAACAAACATTTTTTTTCCATTTCATGTTACTGTGTTTTGCTGCCGTTGGTCTGTTGATTTCCCCAGATGTGAGTCTGTTTGTTTTCAGTTGTCTGGGCTCCACAAAAAAACGTGATACAATTTGAGCGATAAAAGAAGCTACAGAACAGGATGCGGTCATGAAAATGCCATGAATGAAGACTGTGGGGTTAGGGGGGTGCCTTTTTATGAACTAAAATAAATAAACTTTAAAAACCTTAAACTTGGCAATATTTATTTGGAGATTTTAAATTATCGTATTCTGAATTAATAACCTATATCCCTGAAGGCCGGATTCCTTGAACGATAGAAAATTTAATTATGATTGCATTTAAGAACAGATTCTTCAGCTGACTTAGTGAGAAGGATCCAGGAAAAAGAATGTATTATAGAGCCTTCTCTCCTCAGATGAAATGCTGCTTTCTTCAGATGACCACTGTCTGGAGCCAGGTTTTTAATTTCACTGGGACGTGCCTTAGGCCCCGATCGTAGAATTGTAAACCTGCTTACAGGCCCCCACCCCCACCCCCAATCCTTTTTGTCATTTGGGGATATAAATTGGGGCATGCAGTTTCAAACGCCACTCGTCTTCCTCTGTGTATTTTTCCCTGTCTGATTTACACATCTTCAGACCTTGATTACAAGAACATTTATCATCAGGTAAGAAATATATAAGAAGGGCCGGCCCTGTGGCTTGGTGGTTAAGTGCGCGCGCTGCGATGCTGGTGGCCCGGGTTCGGATCCCGGGTGCGCATCGAGGCACCACTTCTCCGTTCATCCTGAGGCCGAGTCCCGTATACAGCAACTAGAAGGATGTGCAGCTACGACATACAACTATCCACTGGGGCTTTGGGGGGAAAAATAAAATAAATAAAATCTTTAAAAAAAAAAAAAAAGAAATATATAAGAAGAGTATCGCTGGGGTCGCTGGACCTTATGCAGGAAACATCAGACCCGGTTTCTTCCCCTCATTTCCCTCTCAGAGGTTAGTAATCCGCCCCACTTGCCTTTAAACAATGCACAGCCACTGAATGGTGAGGAGAAGGCCATCCATGCAAAGCTGCACAGTGTTTTGGGATAGAACAAAGATGCCTGTCCCTTTAATTCAAATGTCAGTTTCCATTTGAAGGAGGCCTTTTAGGCTGGCATGGGGAGGATGCTAGGCAGCGTTTCTTTGGCAACTCTTCGCCGTCTCCATGGATACCCAATATGCAGGAAGCAAGGTGCATGGTCTCTTCAGAAGGAAACACGTGTACCTGGAGCTGCTCTGCACTGACACTGTTGCATCTTAGCAGCCGTGTGTAAAAGGCGGTAAATGGTTGAAAATCAGCAAAGTCTGATTATTCCTGGAGATATGGTTAATAAGAAAACAGAACTCCAGCTATCAGTATTTTGGAGTTTTTTCTCCTGGCATGAAAACATGCACACAAAATAACCGCAGATAAAGTTCCAATATTTATAACCGGAAGATTTTCTGTGGGCCTGGAGTTTTATTTGAGATGTTTTGCCTGCTGTAATTTTCATAAATTCCCAGAGAGACTTTGGAAGTAACAGTGCTAAATAAAGTGTAACTTAATAAGAACAAATGAAGATCAATAAAAGAAGATAGCTATTGAATTCACCAGCCAATGTCTACAAATATTTGAGCATTATCACTTAAAAATTGTTTTTTCTTGGAAGATATCTGCTACTTGCCTGGAATTGGTCTTCTGAATAACAAACCCTGTAATTATGATGCAGAGCAAACAATTATTCTTGGGGTGAACTCAACAAAAAGGAATTCCTTATTACCTCCTTTTTTTTTTTTGCTGAGGAAGATTTGCTCTGAGCTAACATCTGTCGCCAATCTTCCTCTTTTTTTTGGTTGAGGAAGATTAGCCCTGAGCTAACGTCTGTGCCAATCCTTCTCTATATTGTATGTGGGTTGCCACCACAGCATGGCTGAAGAGTGGTGTAGGTCCATGCCTGGGATCCAAACTCGCAAACCCAGGCTGCTGAAGTGGAGCTTGCCAAATTTAACCACTACGCCACGGGACCCGCCCCCCCTTGTTACCTCCTTGTGATAGAGACTTGTGGAGAAGGTGGGAGGGCAGGGCTGCCAGGGGCACACCTAGGCCAGTTCTCCCTGCCCTGTCCCTGGGGAAGACTATGGTGGGTGGGGGGAGATTTCCCAAAAACAATTCTTTGTTTTTCCCTTGTGGACTGGCATTTAATCAGCTGTTCTGTAATAGTCAGTGCTCCTGTATTTGAAAAATGTCAATTCTAACAAAATGTCCAACCTGTTCCTCTCAAAGTCTTGTGGTGCTATGTGCTCTGGGATAAATGACTGATGAAGTGTCTTGTGAAAAAGCATCCTCGCTACCCAGCATTTTTATCTGTCATTTGCCAGTCTTCGTATTCAAAGTTAGATTGAGGATGATTTCTGTGGGAAAGTTTCTGTGGGAAACTTTGTTATTTTTGGTTTGCCTTGATATATACTCTTTATGGTATGAACTAAAAGTCAAGTAGAAATGTAGAATAAAGCATTTACCATTCTTAAATAGAGATTATCAAAAGTAACCATAAGATTTTGCCAAATATTATAGTTTAAACTATATTTGAACATCAAGTTTGAAGAAGTTGCTTTACATTTCATATTTAAATCACTTTTTAACCTTATCACCATCTTCTTGTCACAATTGACTATAGGGGAGCCATTTTAAAATGGAGTCAGAGCCACCTTTCCAGAGAAACTGCCTTGCTGTCTTGAACCTTGGACTGGGCCAAAATGGCAATTGTTTTATAAGCAATTGTTTGAGAAGTCAGCAGAACGGACATCCTGATCACAAACTGAGGATTATGGACTTTCTGACGATAGAATCAATAGTCAATGTTTAGCCAAGACTAGCTCTCTGCCTCCAACTCCAATTAAAATTCTTTGTAATACAACCTCCTTTCTTTGCCTGTAAAAGTTCCTGCGTTTTACCCCTTCGCAGGACACTATTTGGGTTTCTACCTCATTCTGTGCTCCTAGAATTGCAATTCTGAGACTCCCCAAATAAATTTTTTGCTTCTCTTGCAGTTTATGCCTTTTATTTGTTGACGTTCCTTTATTGCACCCACCCACACTCCAATTTGATGATAAGGAGGATCATGATGAGGGGAGAGTGTTGGGGTTGAAGTTCACAACTTTATGTGCCATTTTATAATGAAGTTCAACAACCTTCAAGCTGACAGATGATTTTGGAACAATGAACAGTGGCAGAGAGCAGCTTAGATCCCAGTGTTCTCTTCATGTTGACATGGCGTGGATGAATGAATGGTGTGGCATGTTGAGACGTTCCGTAATAAAGCATGCAGTTTGTTCTGTTTTCTATGGTTTGTGGAATTGAAAAAAGATGGCGTCTCTCATGTTAAGACACTAAAATGGAGCTGGACAGACAAAGAAGAGAGGAACCAATTCCTCCTTTAGAATGAACTCTCGAACTCATCAAATGCCTGCAATGCATCTGCAAGTCTTCTCAAGGAAGATGATAAGATTATGGGACAGAGACGTCATTCCCATCAAGGTCATCTTCTGTATTCCTAAGTTTTAATGGCTTGTTTCAACCTACCCTCACCCCATGACTACCTTGGGTCTGGAGTTTGTTAAGATATTCCTTTCCTTATTCTTTGCCTTCGTTAGGCACCACCATAAAACCTTCCCTCTCCCTTCAATGACCAGAACACAATTCAAGTGCTACTTGAATCTTTGTTCCCAGCTGCAGTCTTAACCCAGAATAAACATCTTTTTGTTTAAGTCTATCAGAGTCTACCTCATAGTTGGTTGACAGGTTCAAGAGCAGATTTATAAGAAAATGTGTAATTTAGGGTAAGATGCAGATTTCTTGGCTGACATGACCTACCAACAGTCATAGTCTTTAAGAGAGGTGAGTTTAAGATCAAGTTGCAGTGAAAATGTGTGAATATTTTCCATTAAAGCAACAGTATTTAAAAAGTGGTAGATGGCTAAATTAGAGAATGGCTTACTTTCTTAAAAAGCAAGTTTATTTTGTAATCACAATTCACATCGGAATTTTCTATTAATGAGATACATTTTTTGTTGTGATATCATTTGGTGTACCTGGTGCTGACCTGAAGTCATTTTGATTTGTTAATAAAAGGTTATGTTCATTGTGTTCAAATTGTGGAGCACTTTAACTTCCGCATGTGAACTGAGCCCAACTGGACAGAATAAGGACTCAGCAGCCAGTCAAGTTGGGATGAGCTTGCACATGAAAAATGGGGAAGAAACAGGTAGCTCTTGAGTGATTAGGCAGTGAGGAAATATAACCACTAGGCTAAGACTACTCACCTACCAGTAACTGACTTGATTATCCTAATCGAGGGATGTGGCTTATTCATACACATCTTATGACAAAATGAAAAAAGACTACCCATGTCATGGTCATTATATCCCAGATTAGAGTGAATAATACAAAAAGTTTTCAATTAATAGAAGTGCTATGAATATAGAATTTGAAATTAGAATTTTTGAAGAATGGTGTAAAATAAACAGCTAAAATATATTTGAAGCTTTGAGGCATTAACACTAATTTTCTTGATTGGTTTTCTAATTTGTGTGTGTGCGTGTGTGTGTGTGAGAGGAAGATCAGCCCTGAGCTAACATCTGATGCCAATCCTCCTCTTTTTTTGCTGAGGAAGATTGGCCCTGGGCTAACATCTGTGCCCATCTTCCTCTACTTTATATGGGACGCTGCCACAGCATGGCTTGACAAGCGGTGCATCGGTGCACGCCCGGGATCCGAACCTGTGAACCCCGGGCCACTGCAGCAGAGCGTGCGCACTTAACTGCTGCACCACGGGGCCGGCCCCTCTATCTAATTTTAATACTGTGTTTTCAGATTGTAAGGCTGAGACTATTGTGTGCAGAAATTGGTTGGCGAATTAAGATATTTGTTTATAGCACCACAACTCTGCTTTTTCTAATACAATGCAGTGTGCTGAGTGCGGTCAAAAAGGTGGCAGTGAGTTTACAAGAGGGGACCATTTCAGACGCACCAGGCAACTGCAGATTGGGCACAGAGAGATTGGGTACCCGATGTAGCAGTGGGCGAGCAACAGTCACAAGCCAGCTGGATGGGGTTTGGCTTCAACCAACAGGCTGGAAGAATAAATTAGGGAGAATGCCAATGCTCCCATTAGCAGGGCTTTTTTGTCCACAATTGTCCACTCTGGTTCAGGTTTACAGCCCCCAACCTATCTCTGCTAAGATTCCAGGCCTCGGAGATGATGGCCCTGAACCAGTCTGATTTTCAGACTGGTCTATTCTGCGTGCATTTAAAAAATGTATCTATAGGATGTGCCTCTGCTAGTTACAAATGTATGTTCCTATTTAGAAGAAAAGAGAAGCATATGATGTGGAAAGTAAAAGTTACTGCAGAAATCTGATTGTATTAATATGGTACTTTTTTCATTCACGTGGGCAATTTGCAAACTGGAAGGGGGTGCAGACCTCTGCTTCTCCTGTTTTCTAGCCATCCCCTTTCCTGATATCCCTTACCTACACTCAGTAGTTACCTGACTTAAGTACTCCTCTATGTGGATTAGAGAGAATTTTAGCATTGGAGATTGTTTTAGCATCCTAGGGTGGCTGAGGTTATAATCACTTTCATATTCTCTCTCACGTTCACCAAATTAGCAGTGGGAGTTGCTTTAAAGTAGCATCTGCTTAATTGTAACTACTACCTTTTTAAGGTCATCAATAGCTCTGAAGACAAAGAAATTAAAAGTTCAAAGTCATCATTAAAATCAATTATTTTAATTGCTTAAATAAACATACGTAATTGATGGAGGTGAGGCTGATCACAGGCAGCTTGATGAAATTTGCGGTGTCATCCGGTTGCCGGAGACGGTCGGTCGGAAAGAGCTCCCTCCGGTGGCCTGACTGAACCGAAAGGGGGTGCTCACTTGGCCCCCAAAGACATGCATCTCTTAAAGGAGTCCAAGCAAACATCAAAGCAAATAATTAAGAGCCACATGTTTGGAAAGTATGTTGAATTACACAAAGACCAGGGTCATGACCCATTGTGCACCTGCTCAAGGCAGGACATTTTAGAAGATGAGCGTTAGGAAGACTGAAGTGTGATGGTCAAGGGGTCCATCATCAACACAAATACAAATGGAAATCACTTTATTAAACTTTGTGGAGAGGCCGTTTGAAGAACAAGGTCAAGGCCCGGGTTCTGCCCGCGGGGGTTCGGCGCTCACTGGCGGCGTGCGGGGCGGGGCCTAGCACCGCAGCTCCTCCTCCTCGGCCCGCCGGGCGCCGCCCCCCGAGCTCTGCGCGCTGGCCTGCGCCGTGGAGCTGAGCACTTCCTCGAAGCTGCCGCCGCCGTGGTTCGTCCCGCCTACTTTCGTCTGAAACGGGCGGGGACGCAAACGTGCAGTTAGTTCATTATTTCTGTAATGTTTTTATAAGATAGGCTGATTACGTTCAAGTTCAGAAATACTTTTATTCTTGAGAGGAGCTATAAAGGATGTAGAGAAGTCAGTTCCCTTTAGCAGAGCGCTAGGATGCCCTTCATCCCTGGGTTCTGGGACTGGATTCAAAACCTTAATTTCGTACCATTTTAGCAACGCTCCCTTTATCTCTTCTACATCTAAGATTCCCAATCCCCTCAGGAGGATATCCCGATCTGTGGATTTGCACCGTCTACTCACTCACCCAGAGAACCGATTTAATCAAAACGGAGCTGGATTTTAGGTAAATTCCCCCAATATTACAATCGTATGAACGTCTTTAAGTGACTTGAGCTTAGGTTTTCGACTTGGGATTCAGCAAGGCAGTCTGGATTTCTGACAAATGTCCCCCTGAAAAGGCGGAGCGGCTCAACTGCAGGTGCTTTCTGGTCTGCGCTTTGAGAGCTGGAGATGAATCATCTTCAGCGCTAGTCTCTGCACATCTTTCTAGGCAGTTGCCTTTATAGGAGGAACGTCCTTTAAAATGCAAAGTTATGGTGGCTTACAAGGCTCCCTTTTGGTGTACTTGTTATTGGCTAATAAGAATAGAATCAGGAAGAAACCAATTTATAATTAAGAAATATGGTTAAGTATTTTGAAAAATTCCTTATTAAAGTCCTTCAAAAGAATATTTAATGGTCCAAAATGCTTAATGCAAGTCTTACTGATGGTTACACTGGCCTTCCTTTAACCATTAACGATGTGGAAAAATGCTTCGAGGAAAAAGAAGGTATAGAATAGATAATGTTGCTATTCCCAAAATGTTGTCTACACCTCAGTCACCAAGTGATCACTCACAAGAACATAAACCACACTGGAGGAGGTACCCACGTACTGTCTGGCCTGCCCTTTTAAAACCTTAACCAGGGTTTAAAAACAGTTCAATCATTGCAAAACACACACACACTTTTCTCCAATTATCACTAAATCTCTCTCTGCCTCTTTAAATTCAATTACTAAGTTGAAATTTTCCACTCTGCTTAGCCTCAGAATACTCGTTCTGGAAAGTGACAGATAATAAATATTTTAGGCTTGGGAACCACATAGTCTGTGTCACAAACACTCAAATCAGACATGGTAGAAAGCAGCCAAAGACAGTACATAAGTGAATGAGCATGGCTGTGTTCCAAAAAGACTGTACGTATGGACACTGAAATGTGAATTTCATGTAATTTAATTTTCACGTCACAAACTATTATTCTTCCTTTGATTTTTTTCAACCATTAAAAAATGTAGGGTGGCATAGCGGTTGAGTGCCCGAGCTCCGCTGCTGGCTGCCCGGGTTCGGATCCCAGGCACACACCAATGCACCACTTGTCCGGTCACGCTATGGCAGTGTCCCATATACAGTGGAGGAAGATGGGCACGGCTGTTGGCTCAGGGCCAGTCTTCCTCAGCAAAAAGAGGAGGATTGGCATGGATGTTAGCTCAGGGCTGATCTTCCTCACAGAAAAAATAAATAAATAAACATTCTTAGTTTACAGGCCATTCAAAAATGGGCGACCAGCTGATTTGACCCACAAGCCTTACTCTGCAGACCTCTGGCACAGAGCATTGACTCCTCCTCCATTCTATGTTACCTTAGCCATGGGAAGAAGGGGAGTTGTTTTCAACTACGTGATTTTTCACTATGCTTATTTCATTCCAGAGAGAAACAAGATTAATTCAATGTAATCTATTCTATTAATAGTTCCCATTCTCCTCTTTATTTTATTTGCGTTCTCTTTTGCAATCAAAGTCACACAGTATTGAATCAGGTGAATACCAATTACTGATGTTTTCTTCTGGGCTTTGTTTCATTCCTCTCTTCTAGTTCTTGATTTTCTCAAAGCAAAATAGAAAAATAAAGAAGGAAGGAACCGGTTTGAAATAAAGCAATTTGGCAAAGAGAGGAGTGGAATCAAGGAGTTTCTTCACCATGTGGGTGTAGTGAGCGCACACTGCAACACTATAGGGCAGGACCTGCTTCAGCAAAGATGTGATTAAACCTCTCCTGGCCTCTTCCTGTCATGATGGTTTTTCAGCTAAGAATTTCTCACTTTGCCCCCCAAATTATAATTCTTTGCATAACATTTTATTTGAATTACTGGGTTGGGCTTCCTAATCTCTCATAATAAAATAGCTGGTTGAAAGGACACAAAGAAACAATAAGTATAATATATTTTGCCTTTTTTTTAAACGTTTTAATTCAGGCCATGCAATATGTTCATCAAAAAGTAAGTTCATTAAAAATATGGTCTGCTTAGGGCTGACCCAGTGGCGTGGTGGTGAAGTTCACGTGCTCTGCTTCAGCAGCCCAGGGTTTGCAGGTTCAGACCCCGGCGCAGACCTATGCACCGCTTGTCACGCCATGCTGTGGCAGACGCCCCACATATAAAGTAGAGGAAGATGGGCACGGATGTTAGCACAGGGCCAATCTTCCTCACCAAAAAAAAAAATTGGCTGCTTGACAGAACAGTTGGAAGGGAGGTAGTTACTCATGATTCACTGAAACACAGTAGAATATTCCAAATATAGTTTCATAGGAGCTGGTTCTGGGTCTGCTTTCTATTTGTTTGTTTCTGATGAAATAGAAAGTGTGCTCATTGAGTGTACAGGTGACACCAGCTCAGATGTTAAGTGATATATTGATGTATTACAAGGATGTAGTCAGAAAGGACTAAATTTTATATGATTATGATGAATTGGAAAGTTTTTCATGGAAAATCAAAATATCTACAGAATTGGGTATAAAGGAAGAACAACTGGGTACAAATGCCATATGGTGTGTGACAGATTGTGTGAGAAAATGGCAGGAATGGACCTCAGTTCACAGCATAACATTATTTCTAATAGAACAAAAAATGAACCTGATTCCCTTCAAGTGGTATATTAAAATTCAAGCTTAAAGCAGTGTGTGAATGCAGATGCAGCATATAGACCGGCAAGGGATTTCAACCCATCGTCACTGATTCCTGAGTCATTCCTTTAGCAGGAAACAGCCTTGGGATCCATAAGTGAAGAAAATTATAGAACTTCTGGAGAAGATTCACAAGAGAAAAGTAAACAATGCAGAAAATAAACTGTAAAAGAAGAGTTAAACATCTATTATTTAGTCTGGAGAAAAAAAGGAGTGAGAAATTTGTAACTATTGAGCAAGTGGGAGGTTTTACACAAAGCATGATTATTAGCTGTTCTCCATTGCAGGGCGGGGGCAGAAAAAGAGGAACAAGGCATTGACCATGACAAAGGAGGTGGGTGCGATGCGAGTCTTCTTAAACCCATGAACAATCACACAGACACAGGATCCACTTTCTGGAGGTCTTGACACTGGCTAGTGTCCGGGGGGGCTGAGTTAGTTTTGAGCATGTCTGAAGGAGGAGGCAGGCTCTCTATCTTCCATCCCAATGTGGTGAATAAAGTGAGAAGCTGAGTGTGGACCAACCACTTACATCATATGTGAGCTGTGAGCTTACCAGAGTTCCCTACAAGCAAATGAAAATCAGTTGTTCTTTATTCTTCTTTTGCTTCTTTATAGCTCCTTCTTCTAAAGAAAACCTAAAAAGTACAACTTGTCCTGTGTCAGAACTTGTCTAACAAGCAACAGAATCCGTCCTCTTTGGAAAGTCTAAGGTTGAGAACCAAATGTTGAGAAATTGACTCCTAGGATTTTTTGAGCCTTTTGTTTTAAAAATAGATATTCTAGCAAGAGAAATGTCCAAGATACTGCATGTCCCTCCCTATCAAAAGTTTTCCCTATAAATGAAGGCAATTTAATGGCGCCTACTGGTCCCTATATAGGTGGTGATGTTGACAAGCAGGGTAGTAAAATTGCACAACTAGGAACTGCAGGTAAATGAAACCAACAAAGGCATGGTAAATGCTGAGTAATAATTTCATTCTTGCCTTAAATACCTAGTCAGAGGCCTAAGAAAGCAAAAGTAGAAGACTACATGAAAGATCCTCCCATAAGGGGAAAGACCCTCCAGGTCAAAATCAATAAGAGTTCCTAGCACCTCTAGTAAGGAATAACTTACACCCTCGCAGATATGCATCAGGAGGCAGAGGTGAGAGCAGTGTGGTGATGGAGGATTCAGAAGCAGCTGAATAATCAGCATGTGCATATATCTGCTTTTGATCTGGGTAAAGATCATACATATTCTTATTCTTCCCAGTAACAAGGAAATACAGAAATGGATTATATACAAAATAGAGATAATGATATCAAATTAGGTAATTAAGTCATGGTTTAGGTGATATCTTTAAGAAAATAATCTTAGTAGTTTCAATGATTTTTCCTGTTTGGAAAGGTCTGTACAGTTTAAGACTAGACTAATTTTATTTTTGCTCTTTTCTCCTCTGTAGACTAAGTTGTCTATGCTCAAACAATAAAGTCAATGAATTTATTTTAGCACCTACCATGTAACAGGCAAAGTTTCAGTTTATACTCAGGGATCAAATGCATTTGGGACTCAGCTTTATTTTCCCTCCATGATTACCATACTGTGCTGTGCTCAGTATGTGAAGTGAGTAAACAAGTTGAAGTAGCCGACGGGAAGTGGTTGGCTGTATAACACATGCAGCCAAGTTCGTTTTGACTAGGCCATGTCCAAACCAGAGGTGCTTTGAGCTATTATTGAACTTTCACTTAAGCTTTAAATTCAGAATTCATGTATCGTTTATCCTATCCACAATCCTCTCTCTCATATCTACTTTTTGAGGGATCGCATTAAGAGTTCTAACCAGTGAAGAGATGAACACAAACCCCAATTCACTTTAAGGAACAATTCACCCTGAATTGTTTATACAAACAACTCTGTAAGGATACAGTAACACTATTCAATACTGGTTTTATTTATAGATTTATATGTGAAGAAAAAGACTGAATCTATGCAAGGCTGCCTTCTTGGCTGCACTGAATACTGGCAGCCCCACCTTCAGAACTAACCACAGCAATGACTAAGCTGTCCTGATTCAATGGACCCAATGACACAAAATTCACTTCATCTGTACCTTAAGGCTTGTGACAGTTGTCTCAACCCTCTCCTCAAATGATTTGAAAGTAGGAGAATTCCTAAAATAACAAAAAAAGAGAGGTCAGCTCCAAGACCTGGCTATCTTAGCAACCATGCTGTCTGGTTCTCTGCTCTTATTTGTAAACATCACCTCTGCACCAGAGCTAGCTGTAGGTTTGCCACCTACACCAGCCATGTTTTAAAATATATTTCACTTCTGCTAGGTTAGATCCAGAAACCATAACATGAAATTTTTCTAAGTAAAACAGTCAGAGGCTCAACTGTAGAATAAATAATATAGTGTTTAGCAATCCAACTGTAATAATTCCATGGTGCACCATAAATCATTTCCAATAAGTCAAAGGTAGCTTAATTTTTCATTTACTAATTAATTGTTTCTATCACAACACTCCTTTTCCCAACTCATTTTTTCTGTAAGCAATGGAATGGAAAGTCTATCTGAAGAATACCATGTTTGAGTTTTCCCACTTGGAATTTTAAAAGTTCTTTATTTCAGTTAATGTGAGACAAGACAGAAATAGCTCAAGGAAAAAAGATTCATAAGTTTTTTCTTTTCCATGTCTTAAAAAGTAATCATTTTGTCAACTTCCATGAAGTGGTGTTTCTGAAAGTCAACTCTTTCAGTATTTTAAGCTGAAATATACCCATTACTTGTCAAAATGGTATTATGGGCATGTTATTTTTCCTCTCAAAGAGGACATACTTATTCATTCTCTTACCAGACAGAACCTTCACAGTCTATTGACATTTTATTTGTGACTCATTCATTGTGTTAAATAATCTTTATACCATCTTGTTACTTTAAGCATCAGATACTTCATTTGGTGCTTTTTGGTTTCTTATACTGGATTTGGCCACATGACATTATGATTTAATGACATCATTACCATTAAAAATGATGTCACCAAGTCCAACTAAAGAAACAAGAAGTGAACTAAAAATGTATCTTAAATCCTGTATCCATGTCAGCTGTCAGTAACAACGATTGCCATCATTTTCAGGTCAGATAATTCAACCAAATGTTACTGTATTTGATGAGCCAATTGCTATTCTCTCTTGAGGGCAGAAGAAATAAAATAAGAGGAATGGCCTAGAGAAACTTCATAAAGGAGAGTGGTTATAAAACATGGTCTTCATTGTATGGTGGGAGTGAGGCATGGCTCTAATACTATCCAGAGGAAACTAATGTAGAGAATGTGTTTTTGAGTGAATTTGGCTTTATTAGGGATTGTTTCCTGAGACTCTGATGCTCTAGAGGGTCAGAAATGCATTTGCACTCAGGTGTATGAATTAACAACAGTGAGTTCAGAGGGCCCAGACGTGGCATCACATCTTGCACATGACTCAAACATGAGTCAAATTCCTATAAGTAATCCTCCATCATACCTCTGTTTCGTCATGAAATATTAGTGAAATTACCCTTAAATGACTCAAAAGTATACACCTATTAGCACCTGACCTCCACTGCAGGTTTTATTTGGCCAGTCTTATTCACATGACTGCTGTCATCCATCCGTTACACAGGACCACAGTGGGCAGACAGTTCAGCCTAATAGTTCATGGGTATGTTAGATGAGTAAAATCATTATTTTTTTAAGTTAATTTCAAGCAAGCTCATGAGGACTGCATTTGACCCATCAGCCACTGGATGGACTCATGGTTAAGAGCAAAACCATGTTAATTTTTTGGAAGCCTTCTTTGGACACCTAGACTTAAAGCTCAGAGCCTCAGGTTGCACGACTCAATTTGAGAGTTCTTATGCTAGGGGGAGCAAGTCATTCAAAGACAGACTAAGCAATCTTGAATCTATGCTCTCTATTTCTGCCACCAAGTTAGGGAAATCAAATACTGTGGTTAAATTTCCAAAGTAACCAAATAACCCCAGTGCAGCAGAGATATCATCAGATATAATAAAACAGACATCTCTCTAATTAAATTACACTAGAATGCGTGCTGGAGAACAGGGAGAACCTGTTTACTCAGATTTAATCATATCATATATAACTACATACAGTTTGTAGTTGCAAATGACCCTAGAAAGAATTTGGCTTCGGTGGTCTCAAACTATTCAGAGTAACTGAAACCCCTCTGTAACATATTCATACCACAATATATAATATAAAGCAAGTTGAAGTGGTGCAGTTCTGACTGAAATGGGGAAGGGCCCAGAGGCTTGATCCCCCAACTTCACGCCCCGCCGCAGTGGCCCAAGGCAGTTCTGGGGCTCCTGGGAGCACCATGGGAAAAGCAGGAAATCTGGTCCTAGCCTCTTATGTTAAATGTGATGAAACTGATTATCACTGAGGTGACCTTCCCAAGGCTGCAAAGTTCATTCTTGGCAGAGCTGGGCTACAACGTGCATCCTCTGATTCCCAGTCTAACATTCACTCCTCTATATAACTATTAGTGTGATTTTATCTGATTGTATCACTAAGCCATGCAAACGGAAGCGGGGAACATCTTTCTCAGAAGTTTTCATCCAGTCAGTAATTTTAATGATATTTTTATTGTTTAACAGACACCTCACCTTAATATCTACCTTTGAAAATCCTGTTAATATCCTTTCTAGAACCGTAGCCCTCTTAGTCTTCTATCCTTTCATTTAAATTTTCTCCCAAGTTTGCATTTAATTCTGTTGACATAAGAACGAATTTGTACCTTTGCAAGTGTGCTTGGAATGTTCCAGGCCCTGGGCTAAGTGCTTTACACAGGTTACTTTGTTCATGTCTCACAACCACCATATGAGGCAGGTCTCATTTCTCCCAGTGTGTGGATAAGAGAATGGAGATTGAGCTGGGTTAAGTAACTTGTGTCAAGTCATACAAGTCAGGAGAGGCTGGATTCAAGTTGGCATGTCTGGTCAAAAGCCCAAGCCCATTATACCTACAATACTTCTACAGAATTGTCAGCCTCTTCTCCTGAAGACCATCAGGAAAGAGAATGAGGCAGGTCATGGCACTTCCTTTTATATAAAGGGGGGAAAAAAACCACAAAGTAACTCTCAATAGAGTGACACTGCATGCACATTCTGCATTAATATTATGTAAAATACTTTACACACATTACCTCATAGCAGGCATACTTATGGAATGGCGAATGGAGTAGCTTCAGGGCAAAAGCAGATTAAAGGGAAAAAAAAAAGAAGATAGCACAATATAAGTATATGAGAAACTCCCTATTCACAGTTGTAAAACAGCAATCTGTACTGCAGATACAACTATCTGCAGCATTCCCTGCCCACCCCACCAAGATGACGTTTGTTTTCGTTGGGTAGGATGGGCTACAGTGGCTTCCAAGGGTATAAAGGAAGAGTAGACAGTCCATAGGTGCACATTATTTTACTTCCGGTAGGTCTCTGTAGGCCAGGAAATCTGAGGAGAATGTCTGGTGCCCCCCGGGTCAGCCAGTAGCCCCTGGGCATCCTCTCCAGGTCCAACTCCCTTCTACTGCCTTCTCTTCAGGAAGACAGGGAGGGCAGTGTCCAGGAAGTAGAGCCAGGCAGGTAAAGCTAAACGTTCCATTATAGAGAAACACGCCAGAGCAATATATGTAGTTAACACGAGACAATCAAGGAAACACACGCCAGGCAAACACAGTCGACGTAGAAGCAAGGAATTCTGCATTCATTCCAGAATATCTGGTACAAATATCACCATACCTGAGAACTCGAAGAGCACCAGCCTTCTCACCCTATTAATCCTATAGTAGCTGACTCATCTTCCCTCTGATTGATTGCCTATTTTCCATGTGAGTTCCACTCAGAAATCAGGCTGGGCAAAGCAAAATGGGGTCCATTTTCCTAGGTTAGCACTCTCCCATCACACTTTCCAACACAGCCTCTGCCTTCTCTTCTCCCAAGAAGCTAACAGGTAAGGGATCAAACTCATCACCCTTCCCAACACTATCCACTGAGGTCATTAGTAGGGGCAGCACTTTACTGGAACTCAGAAAGAAAAAGACAAAGAAATTCAGGGGACACTTATGTCTTACCTTCAACATTCCATTTAGAAACTATAGGCAACCTATTTCCTCAGAAATTACGTTAAAAAAAGAATTACTAAAAGAAATTCCTCAGTATTATCAATCTATTCAACTTTTAATATAGGCAGTTTTCTTAGGAAAAAATTCCAAAAAACAAAGTATATAATAAAAGATTCCAGCTAAAAGAAGGCTCCATTCAGAGACCTGGAACTGACAATTGCACACTTCCTGACTTCCAGTAACCTTCCCCCTCTTCAACTTCAGAAGAGACAGAAAGTGGAAGGTGAACCATCCACATAGATAACAGTTACATGAAGTTCAGAAAAACACGACAATCTAGACAACACTTTTCTGTTTCTCAGCTTTACTTTCTAAAGTTCCATAAATATACACAACTCTCAATGTCCACTTTCCTTTTTTTCTTCTTTCAATGCTAAGGACCCCTGCCGTTGGAGGAAGGAACGATGCATTAAAAGAGATTCCTAAGAGATTGCTCAGCAAGTGAAACTGGGTAAATCACTCAGAAATGAGATAAATCTGTCCTTAAACAAATTCAAATGCATTAGGCACCCTATACTCTGTAACTTCTTGGTCATGAACACTCTCAGGAAAAGAGATCTAGGTTTTAGCTGAGGCACCCACAGTGTGAAAGAAACAGCAGGCTCTGGGAAGGAAGGGAGCAGCCAGGGGGCCGCAGGGCCCCACAGGCAGCGCTTACCTGATGGAGTGAGACCTGCAGCCAGGGCAGCACAGGAGAGAAGAGCAGGAGCGGAGTGAGCGCATCAGGATGCAAAGAAATGATCACACTGCCCCCTCCCCTTTCAAGAGCCCCAAAGCGAAGATGAGGCAGCTCCATACATTACTTTTTTTTGAGTGTTAAGACTTGTTAATGTGTCTTAAGGATTGCCTTACTAACCTGTTGTAAATTGCGCTCCTAACTATTATTCTCATGGATATATACAGATAGTTGAACTCTAAGAAAATTATATGCCTCGCCAAAGATTTCGTCTCCACTAGATCACACGCAGCTTGAACAAACTCACTGACAAGTTCCAAGAAGATGCCAATATTATTATAAAAATGATTCAACAGCTTGCATTTCTTCAGAGGACTTTCATAAATGTGACCTCATTTGAACTTCACAGGAACCATCTGGTTAGGTAGCCATTAACAATGTTGTTTTACAGAGGGAGAAGGAGATGGAGAAATTCCTGCCTGGACTAAGGGGACGTCACCTAATGGCAATCAGGACAAAATGAGAATCTTAGCTCGGGAAATAGTACTTATTTTTATAGAACGTATAAATTAAATCCTAACATAACGCTTTTCATTCAGTTATTCAAAGGCCCAAATTCTAGGTTTTCAAAATCTGTATTAACTCGGAATTATTTTAAAAACTAGAGGTGTTTTTTTTCTTCCCAAGTATCTAAATTTTGTCGGCAATCTTTCTTAAACGAGTTCAGAAGTTTGCTCCCAGAACATACAAAAGAATTTTATAGAGTAACTAACAAAAATAGAGAATAATATGATACTTTTAAAGCAAAAAAGGGGTTCAAGGTAAAATGTCTGTGATAAAATTGTAAAATTTCCCCACCATCATTTTATAAATTGGCAAATTAATTTGAATGAAAAATAAAAACTTACTAATTCTTCACATTTAAGAATATTATATTACACTTAAGCAATTTTCAAATATGACTTTTACATATATTACTTGTTTTAGCATAATTTAAAATTAAAACTTCTTTGTAAAATGTTGCTTTCACAGGGACTTATCCTCATTTATTTACAAATGTTTGATGTTATAATTTGAGAAAAATATAGGCCTGAATTTTGCAAACTCTACAAAATATTGCAGGACCGTATTTGAGTCTCTAGTGACATAGTCTACATTTTCCAATATTTTTAGCCACAGTTTATAATGAAAAAGTTGTAGCCTCTACATAGAGCAATAATTAATGAAAAGTTTGGAACTCCTGGGAAATAGGTTATCCATTACGCTAAAAGAAAGCCACATTGAAATAGGAGGAAAAAGAAGTCAATACGACCTTGATATTTACCCAATTAGTGTGTGAACATAAATATGTCAACATATTGCATATATGAAACACAGTCTTCATTCTTTTCTTAGAAAAACAAGCAGAGCCTTTATGAAATATAGTGTGCTCTTGTTAATGGACTGTCCCTAATTTCCATCACGTGGGGCCACCTTGTCTGAGACAGTCACTTAGTAAAGATAAAAACTAGCATTTATTGAGTGCTTAACATATGGCAGGCTCTCTTCTGCTACTTTTATAATAACACGAAGATGCTGTTACTCTTATCCCCATTTTCTAACTGAGAACACCCGGGTACAGGCGAGCTAAGTTACATCTGGCCTCCTCATAACCCGACCACTTGAAGTCAAATCACCCGAGAGCTAGTTACAAATGCAAATTCCTGGACTCCACCCAAGACCCACCGAGGCACAATCTCGGAGAGGTGGAATCTGGGAATACGTATTTTAAACAAGCTTCAGAGGTGTTTGTAAGGTCCCATAAAGATGGAGAAACACTATTTTAGTATTATGCTGAGGTCCCAGTGTTCAAGTGAAAGATTTCAACTACATATGGGGAGAACAAATCTTATAAAAATGGCAAAATATACTTTCTTGGATATAACAGGTAGTAGGGTATTTCCTGTTTTAAGAAATTATTTAGTTTAGATAAATGTTTTAATGCTATTGAAATGATAGCAAAATTTTATTTGTAATAAAATTAAGGTTAATTAATAATCCAGAATGTTTACCTGTTCATCTCACATGGCCTCTGAAGAATTTCAATTGCTTTTCATGATTACATTATTGTATTATTAGTAAATATGAAGATAAAACAATGTAGTCAGATTCATATGTACTTAACTCTAGCCTCATAAAGGCCAAGTTGTTAAGTTGGTACATGAGGAGTGTGCATAATCCAGCAATTTTTGGAGCTAAAAAATAACTTAAACACAAAGATATAAATATTTGCCTCTAGGTATCAAAGGAGCAGGTAATAAAGAAAGTAATAGTTTAAGAATCCAATGAAATAATACGCATGGATTTTTTTAAAAGAAGAAATTTAAAACATACTTGAAAAGTTTTTTAAAAATGAATTTGATTTATAAGGAGAAAAATGAAATTGATTTATAAAGAAAATCTTCTAAGCATATCAGCCAAATTCAAAATAAGCTATGATAGGTACTTTTTTTTAAATTTTTTTTTTGAGGAAGATTGGCCCTGAGCTAACATCTGTTGCCAATCTTCTTCCTTTTTTCTTTTTTTTCTCCCCAAAGCCCCAGTAGATAGTTGTATGTCATAGCTGTACATCCTTCTAGTTGCTCTATGTGGGACGCTGCCTCAGCATGGCTCGATGAGAGGTGCGTAGGTCCGCACCCAGGATCTGAACTGGTGAAGCCTGGGCCGCCAAAGCGTAGTGCCCAAACTTAACCACTACGCTACCGGGACAGCACCAATGATAGGTATTTAAATAAGCAAAAAATATGAGTGTAACAACTCGATATAAGATAACATCCTAGAACACAATATAAAAAATAGAAATGGTCAATACTACATTGTTTTTCTGGTGCCTATAGTGAGGACATTTGGTTCTCGGTTCAAAATCTTGATGTTCACTCTAATTTTATATAATAGTAAAATACTGAAAATAATCAAAATGTGCAAGGGGATTTGTTTAAAAATTTTGCTACAGCTATGCACTGGAAGATAATACAGCCATTAAAAATGAAGGTGTAGGGGCCAGCCCCATGGCGTACTGGTTAAGTTCGGCATGCTCCACTTCGGCGGCCCAGGTTCTCGGGTTCAGATCCTGGGCTTGGACCAATACCACTCATCGGTCATGCTGTGGAGGCAACCCACATATAAAAAGTGGAGGAAGACTGGCCTGATGTCAGCTCAGTGCTAATCTCCCTCAGCAAAAAAAAAAAAAAAAAAATAGAATGTGTAATAAACATTTATCAACTTATTCACAATATATTGCTAAAGTGAAGAAAGAAAATTAGCAGAAGTATATACCATATGGTACTTTTTTGGAATAAGAGAATAAATATGTACGTATTTAGCATAGAAAAATATATACTAGATGGATGTATACAAAAATGTAACCTAGAATAGTTTATCAGAGCATATTCCACTGAATGCATATTTTAACTTATTGTTTAAATTACAATGGTTAAAATTCAGTGTATGTTACATTCTTTTGAAATCTCCCTTTTACTAGTGATTAAAGGCACTCTCTGTCTTCTACTTTTACTAGGTCAGGTCCTACTGGAAGGGCATCTTTGGGACCAGGCCAACTAACCTGACCTTCAGGCAGAAAACATCTCCATATAAAAATTTATCTCAGTCACCAATCACTATCAGTCACATAAGATTTTAATCCAATAAAAAAAAAAGAGAGGGGCTGGCTCCGTGGCATAGCAGTTAAGTGCGCGCACTCCGCTCTCTGCTGGCGGCCTGGGTTCGGATCCCAGGCGCACACCGAGGCACAGCTTGTCAAGCCATGCTGTGGCGGCGTCCCATATAAAATGGAGGAAGATAGGCAAAAATGTTAGCCCAGGGCCAGTCTTCCTCAGCAAAAAGAGGAGGATTGGCATGGATGTTAGCTCAGGGCTGATCTTCCTCACACACACACAAAAGAAAGAGAATATGTTAGGAAGACCAGCCGACAGATAACGCTCCCCTTCTCTGGGAAGCCCAGGGCTCAGCACCATTCCTGTGGTCCTATCCCACAGTACCTCATGTCTCCAAACTTCTTGCTGATGGCCGTCCCAACGTTGCTGAAGGCTGCAGTCGCCTTCTGCCCTGCGTGACTCAGGGTTTCCTGTGTTTTCTTGTAGCTAGAGGTAAAACAGAACAATAGTAACGCAGTTTATATCTCATGATCGCCTATAAAACATTCATCGTCCTTTTCCCTCTTTACTTTGAAAGTTCCCTTTCCTAAAGAGATTTAGCAAGAAGATGACCCACAGAAGTAATTGTTTCTATTCATTGTTTGGGAAGGATGGGCTGGTTGCTGCTCAGTAAAGGGCAAGTTAGACCATTAAATCTGAATTCAGGAAAAAAATATATATACACATACAAGGACAGATGTGAATATGCAGATCTTTTAATCACACATAGTGAAACTGCTCTGAGAATAGAGAGTTATTCTTAAAGAAGTGTATTAACTCCACGAAGAGACATGTGCCAATGAAAGCTCTGGCCATGAAAGGTAACACAGAAATTAGAAAACTTATATTTCAAAGGGGAATTTAAACTTTTACTGTTAATGTGGGTAAAATTAACCAGAAAAAGGCAAAATATAACTAGTATTTAACTTATTTTTCTAATACTTATAGCTGGGAATAAGAAGGGCACATAATCTGAAGATAATATAGTAACTTTTCCAAAACAGTCTTAGGAATACAGCACTGCAATATGTGTTCATAAGTCTATGTCCCCACTAAACTGACTCCTTGAGGGCAAGGAAGCTGTTCATCTTTGTGTGCCAGGATCTGGCAGAGGGATACAAGAGACACGCAGTAAATACCAGACGAATGAATGGATGATCAAAGAGGATGCTCCACTGTGGCTCTAAACTGGGAGTCGTGGCAGTAAGAACAGAGAGAAGTGGGTGGATTAGAGATAGAATGGACAGACTTGAGGTTGTGACAAGTAGAACAGGATGAAAAGACTGGCCTGAGGTTTTGAGCATGGTGACAGGAAGGACAGTGGTGTATCCACAGGGCTGAGAAATTTCTAAGAGTTATTTAATAAAGTGGGAAACAAAAGGTACCTAATGTGAGGAAATAAAAAGAAATCAGCAAAAAGTTTTGTACGTCATTCATTTCACAATATATTTGAGTCAAGTCATCATGCTGTACACCTTAAACTTATACAGTGCTGTATGTCAATTATATCTCAATAAAACTGAAAAACCAAACCAAAAAAAGTTTTGTACAGATTTTTAAAAAATGAACTAATTCTTATAATGCACAAACCATTTTCTTCTGATAACTGCCGCTCCCAGGTAAGTTCTCCCAAAGCCACCTGCTTAGCCCAGAACACTTGCATGTATGTGGTACCTCTGAGAAGACTATATCATAAGAAAGCAGTGGTGTAGGAACTTCCCTTATCCCTCCACGCCCTCCATCTCCCACAAGTCATCCAGTCCTAAATATACTATCAAACTCTAAGGAAATGCTTTAAAATATGCCCCTTGGTCTTCCTCGGGACTGAAATCACTTTATTAACATGGTATTCTAGTATTCTTTTTTTGTTAGCAGGAAGGAATGAGTCTATAATATTATCAGCACCATAGGTTATTTATTTACACAATGCTTATTTTTCAGGAAGTATAAAAATCATATATTATCTAGATCATAAAACCAAGCCAAATACTCATTTACTAAACTGACATTTCCTAGCAAATATGGACAGACCAAGGGGAATAGGGTGAAAGAAGAATCTGGTGTCTAGGATGTAATTTGTGTCTCTGGAGAGAGTTGTGTGGGTAGAATGGGGAAGGTGGACCCCCAATGGCTCTGGGTCAAGCAGCAACGAGAGGTGAGAAGATGAAAGAAAGAAACAGCTTTTAGGATGTTTGCCTAATTTTGTTTTCTGTGAAGGTACAAAAATATCAGCTTATTCAAATTACAATTTTATTTTTACATTTTACTACATAATTTTAGGTTTTAATTAGGGGAAATTTTTTTTTTGTTTTTTTTGTTTTTGTTTTTTGGTGAGGAAGATTAGCCCTGAGCTAACAACTGTGCCAATCTCCCTCTATTTTGTATATGGGATGCCTCCCACAGCATGGCTGATGAGTGGAGTAGGTCTACACCCGGGATCCGGGCCCGCGAACCTGGGCCGCCGAAGCGGAGTGTGTGGAACTTTAACCACTCGGCCACGGGGCCAGCCCCAGGAAAAAAACATTTTTGATCACGTGAGACTATGTACTTTCAGGCAGTTTACACATGAAATAAAATATTAATATCTAACTTGATATTAGTGATAAGGCAGTTAAAATAGTACCAAATGTTAAAGACCAGAAATAAAAACATCAATCATGATTACCAGATTTTAGTGAAGTGTGATCTTGGAATGGCACGTTCTGAGAATTCTTCTGAAGAAATAATCTACAAAAAGGTTCCCACTACAGTGTCTTGAACACTTGGATTAACTCGGCTTAGACCAATGGTCTTTGAAAGTGGGATTTAAATGTGGTGGTTTTAGCCTTAAGAACAAAAGAATTTATTTACAAATAAAGAAAAATCTGGAATTCCTATTCCAGTTATAATTTGAGGATACTGACAAAGTTTTCACAAAGCTGTAATTGGGCCATGAAATCAGATCTATGAAAAATGCATTTAAAAAATGGAATCCAGGGCCGGCCCTGTGGCTTGGTGGTTAAGTGCGCGCGCTGCGATGCTGGTGGCCCGGGTTTGGATCCCGGGTGCGCATCGAGGCACCACTTCTCCGTTCATCCTGAGGCCGAGTCCCGCATACAGCAACTAGAAGGATGTGCAGCTACGACATACAACTATCCACTGGGGCTTTGGGGGGAAAAAATAAAATAAATAAAATCTTTAAAAAAAAAAAATAATAAAAAAATAAATAAATAAAAAATGGAATCCAGAAACGATGGAAGCACAGCATTACACGCAGATGACACGTGTTCTTGTACCATGGACTGGGACTTAGAGTTGGGCTCAATCCAAGACTCTTTCTACTCACCTTACAATTCTGAAAAATGTCAAGAAAAATTTTTTCTATGCAAAAGTTTCTCATGGATATTGGTGAGGAAATAGAGTAATCCATTAAATACCTAGAATCTGAAACTGAGTATCATCTTTGCCACTTCGATTCCTTTCACCATCCATATCCAATCCATCAAAACACTCCATTAGTTCAACCTTCAAAACAGACCCAGAATCTGTCCACTGTCTCCCCACCTCCACAGCCCTCCACTTAGTTCAATCCACCATCATCACTCACCTGGGCTATTGCAATAGCCTCCTAACTAGTCTCCCTACTTCTACCCTTCTCTCTCTACATTCCCTTCCCACACAGCAGCCAGAGGGATCCAGTAAAGCCTTGTTAGAGCCTGTCACTCCTCTGTCACAACCCTGCACTGGCTCCTCATTCCCCTCAGAGTAACAGCCAAAGTCCATCCCCCAGGCCTTGCGATGAGCCTACACAAGTGGGGGCCCTAGCCCTTCTCTCATCTCCTCTTCCTACTTATTCCCTGGGCTCCAGCCACCCTGACCTTCTCACTGTTCCTCGAGCATACCAGGCCCCATCCTGCCTTAGGACCTCAGCTCTAGCTGTTCAGCTATGTGATGCCACCAAATTGGCAAGAAAAGGTTTTTTGTTTTTTTTTCTGTATTGTAAATGCCCCACTTTGAAGAATTAAACAGACCTAAGCCTGCACACTTAGGAAGACTTCACAGCCACCTCTCTCTGTCCAATCAGGGCCAAAGGTCCCTGGGGCCTTGGCCAGGTGGATGCCAGCAGAATAGAGCTGGGTTCTGGGGGAAAGGGGTAACAGGGATAGAAAAGGGAATCAAGGAAGGCCGAGGAAAGGAAGTGTGTCGGGCATCCACCCGGCACTGACTCGGGGAGGTCTGAAAGGTGACTCAGGGGAGAGTAAAGAAATACTCTGCAACATCTGTGGCCTCTGCGTGAGGTCAGGACTGGGTACTAGTTAGAGAATTCCTTCTTGTGTCGGTCCTGAATTTCCTCAGGATTCTCTTGCAATTAGAGCAAAAATTTATTTTTCTTGTAAACTGTTCCAATGTAGTTTAACTTTAGATATTGGAGAATGCTTTGAATTTTGAAATAACAGGTGACTTGCGAGCACTTTTTTTGTGTGTGTATCACATTCTGAGTTCGATGGCTCAATTCAAAAATAGCTAGCTAGAGAACATCACGTAGTCTACACGGAAATCGAAATATAATGATGTACACCTGAAATCTACATAATGTTATAAATCAATGTTACCTCAATCAAAGAAAAATAGCTAGCTAGAGAGAAGCACAGACAGTAAGCAAGCTACCTTGTATTTAAACACACCGCTAAATCAGAATGGGTGGGTGTATACAGGCATCTGACTGCTTTAGTAAGATATCCATGACATTTATGTCCTCACCATGAAAAACGCACCTCTATATCTATGTGCAATTTCACAGTTAAAATTCAACCATATGGAAAGCTCAGTGGAGAGTTAAAGAGAGATTTTTAGGACTGTTAACTCTTTATTTCTGAGAATTATATAATGTTAAATCTGAAAGGCACTAGAGCCCAATCCCTTCAGACTACAGATGATGAAACTGAGGCCCAGAAAAGTCACGTGACTCTTTAATGACAGAGGGAGAGCTAGGACCAGAGGGCCCGCCTTCTGTCAGAAAGTCTTGTTGCCTTGGAGATGACAGACAGTTGAGGGTGAGTTAGGTCAGCTGTCTATAGCTCCAGTGTTTGCAGAGAGAAATAATAATACTATATTTCAAGAATTCTAAGATGCACATCTTTTCCCCACATTTTTACATCTCTTCCCTAGGCTAACCACCACATTTCTTGAAAACAATTAGTAGTCAAGCTGCATAGATTGCTTAGAGACCAATAATTGACAATGAGACAAGGGGGTAGACAATGAGAGAGGGTTATGTGTAAGGAAGTGATTTACAAGAAGAAAGTAACCAGGGACCCCATGAGAAATAGGCCATTGGGCTCAGAGCATTTGAAAGCTCCAATGAGCACCACTCACATCATTGTCTAAGTGAAGGGTCCCTCTGAAGTTGCGTACTGCAGACTCTGTAACCTTATGCTTCATCCGAATTGGGCTTGATCTTAAAATTG